GGCGGGACTAAACCCGTTTTACACGAGCATGACTGATTTGAAGTGAAATGTTTTATGCTTTTCATTAAATTGAGCATGCCTACTTGAAATTTAAGTGAATGTGAATTGTCCTGATGATTTGAAAGTGATTGTGAAATATGATTTCCCTGTTAACTTCTGCCTGTTTTGTTTCTGATATGGTCGTGTAATCGTGACCCCGCTAGTGGGGGAAGTTACAAACGCTATCACATGTCGACATGTTCCTGATAGAACCGGTTCATTCCTGTAATCCTGCTAGTGGGAGTTAAACACTAGCAATTCCTGTTTGCCTGCCAGTGGGAACTGGCCATGACTAATAGAGGAGACGTCTATTTCGTGCCCGTACTGTATCTGTTTTCATGATTGTACTTGTTGGCATGCTTTAAGTTTGATAAGGGGCACTCCATATTTACTTACTGAGTTTATCTCATAGTTTTTCCTTGTCCACCATTTCAGAAAGTGAAACCGAGGACGGGAAACCACGGAAAGTGACGAGTTAGAAGGCTAGCCATTTCGTAAAGTGAATATAGATTCTAGAAATCATGATCTTGTAAGCTCGAGTGTATGGGAGATTTTGATGGTATCAGAGCAGATTTTAAAGATTTGATCTTCAGATTTTGGTGGTATCAGAGTACAGTATGATAAGTTCCGAGCCTTGTGCATTTGTGGGACCTGTCTCACGAGTGCATTTGTGGGACCCGTCTCACGAGTGCACGGCGTCTGCCACGTCCCCGGATTCGGGTTCTGGGGCGTGACATATAAAAAGGCGAATCCACAAGCTGGGTTCTTTTCTTTTCCATGGATTTTGATTCGGTTGATTGATTGATTTTGTTTTAATTTTTTTCTTCTGAGTTTTTGCTTTTATTTCTTGCAATTTTTCTTGGTTACATTTCTTTCTAAACTCAAAACTCTCTCTCCTTGCCTCCCGAAGGATGATGATAAAACTTGATTCTTTGATTGATTCCATAAAGATGCTGAAGGAGCAAGAAGCACATTTTTATTATTTTGATTATGATGATTATGAAGCTTGATTATTTTTTCCCGATTTTAGCTGTGGATTTGTTGCAAATTTTGTCTCTTTAGTCTTTGTAAATTGGTGAAATGAAAACTCAATCATTGTCTGCAATGGCGGAACCGCCAGAACGTGTATATTGCATGGATGATTGCTGGGTTCCTAGCTGTTGCAGATCTGCAGAGGTGAAAAAAAAAAAAAAGGGCCATGGATGGTTGCTGGGTTCTGCAAGGAACCCAGCTTCTGGGTTCTGTGAGGAACC